TCAAATAATTGTGTCATTCATGAACTCGGTGACACTATAGTAGACCTTTTGCAATAAAAATAGTCTAAGCCTTCGTTTAATATCTTGTGCACTTAGTTCTTTCCAAGATTTCGGCAATTTATTGTATACAATAGGTGCCATACAAAATACATTTCTACGCATAAGCGCAGTCCTACAAGGTTGCAGACAAAGTTTTGTATAGTCACGTCTGTTGCGTGGTGTCACATCATCTAAACGCGGAAATAAATGAGAGTTACATTTCACAAACATTACAATATTGAGAATGTATAGTGATGGCAAAGTAAGGATCCTGAACTGTCCAAAATACGGCTTGCAGCTATCAGTAACTTTCAGTCTAAACATTGATCTGAGGCATCTTTTTTGTGCTTTAAAGACCGTTTCCCATTCTACAGAGTTACCCCAAAAGATTATTCCGTATCTGAGAATTGATTCGGCTATTCCGTAGTACGCAGTTAATAATGTGTCTGTATTCAGTGTTTGTGACAATCGATGCAAAACATATGCTCTATTACTTAGCTGTTTTGCAAGTTTCTCTAAATGTGCCTTCCAGTTTAGATTTTGGTCTATTGTTAAACCTAAGAATTTTGTCATAGTCACAGATTGAATAATATTATTTTTATATTTAATGTCAGTATTATTTGATGTATTTGGTCTTTGACTGAAGTGCATTATAACAGTTTTATTTAAATTAATTTTAAGGTTGTTATTATTTAACCAGTCAACGGCATTCATTAAACTATTATTTATGTCATCGTTATATTGTTCTTTTTTATTACACGGAATTGTTAAAATAGAAAAAAAAACAAAACCAAGAGAAAACAAATATCTTAAGTCTGACATGGTCCTCACATATGTATACTGACAATCCATATAAAATAGTGCTTCTATACAAGAAAAAAATAAAAAATAAACTATTGTTTAAATAAAGAAAGAAATGCTCGATGCCACAAGAAAAATAGATTGCCTTCATCGGAATCAAAGTGTTAATTACCTATTATCGTAATCTGAACTAGGTACTGACTACATTTGAGTATTGTCCAGTGGAGCCGAACCAACACGCTGCCAAGCATTCCTATCCTCAAGATAATCAATCAAATATATATTTTCACAATCGACACACACAAACAAACATATTCTTACATACGTTGCAAGTTAAATGAAAGCTTGCAATTTTAGGAAATTACTACTTTAGGGGTCCACCAATGCGGCGGAAAGTAAATAATATTTAAAATGTAAAATAATCTGTTTTAATAAAATATAAACGTGAAGACATTTTTACAATGAAAAATTATGACATAAGAAAAACAAAAGAATTGACAGATTCTATACGAAGAAGAAAATACTAAAGAAAAGAGGTGAGCTAACTAATAGTAAAAAGTATGAATTTGAGGAAGGTATAGAATAATGAAATGATAAATAATGAAACGTCGGTGAGCAGCCTACACAATGTACGAGTAAAGCTCGACTACTTTAGGGCGTCAACGGGGCTCATATTCGCGATTCGAGCGCGAAGTCCATATGCAGGAAGCTTGCCGATTAGACTGTCGTGCCATACCCTGTCAAAGGCTTTCGAAATATCGAGGGAGACTGCTAATGTCTCCCCGTGCCCCTCTGTGGCCTCGCTCCATATGTGAGTGGCATACGCAAGAAGGTCCCCAGTCGATCGGTTACGTCGAAACCCGGATTGGCGATCGCTGAGGAGATCGTTACCTTCAAGGTATGCCAGGAGCCTATTGTTAAGTACACGTTCCATGCTCTTGCAGAGTAAGGACGTGACCGAAATAGGGCGGTAATTGTTAGGGTCGGCACGACTACCTTTTTTAGGCACAGGCTGCACGTTGGTCAGCTTCCATGCAACCGGTACGGACGCATGCAACCGGTACTAGACCCGTCTCCATGGAAAGGCGAAACAGACGTGTCAGGATTGGAGACAACTCAGGCGCACAGGTTTTTAAAAGCAAGGCTGGGATTCCGTCGCGACCACTGGCCTTGTTCACGTCCAGATCGCGCAGCGTCCTATATACCTCCCTCTGTCGAATGCGAATTTGCGACATATTCGTCTTGCATACACTATTATAAGAAGGAGGCAAGGCGCCACCAGTGTCAAGACGCATAGACTCCGCAAATAGAGAAGCAAATAGATTCGCTTTCTCTACCACAGTTTGAGCCAGCGTCCCGTCAGACCTCAGGAGCGGAGGAAGTGAGGGACGACAGAAGTTCGATTCAACCGCCTTGACCAGAGACCAAAAAGCTTTACTTCCCGCTGAGTAGGAAGCTAGTTTGTTCCCTATACGGCCAATGTGGTTAAATCGAGCCATCCGTAATGCTTTTTTGCATGACTTAGAAGCCCGATTAAAGGCTCTTTTCTTTTGATGAGTGGCATCCGCCCATGCCAAGTATGCCGCCTGCTTTTGCGCTTCGGCACGTCCGCAGTCGGCATCGAACCAAGGACGGGTCCCACCAAAGGATGCCACGTCCGAGAATAGAATGTAGTATTCCATGCCCTGGCGCAGCACCCCTGTTACGGCTTCCGCACAAGCTGACGGGTCATCAGAAGAGAAGCAGACGGGCCGCCAAGGATAGGATGCGAAAAAAGATCGCATTCCATCCCAGTCCGCTGACTTGTATCGCCACATCCGCCGAGGTCCTCTGGGACTCGGATCTGGTGGGGAGTTTGTGGATACAGATTTCACCAGACAGTGGTCAGAGCTACCTAGAGGTGATGAGACTGTCACCGAGTAGCGGTCTGGATCAGTTGTCAGCAGAAGGTCTAAGCAATTGACAGTGTGTCTATCGACATCGGGCACCCTTGTGGCTTCCTGGACCAGCTGGGTCAGGCCAGCTTACGCATTTCTCTTCCAGCATGGTCGGTGCACTGGTATGGAATAACCATTCCTGATGATGAGCGTTAAAATCCCCCAGTAACACCAACTGGGCCGAAGGGTACGCCTATCGAGCCGCATCCGCCGCTTCACCGAGGTATTGCGCTAATCTTGTCGCCTCCAAATCTCCGCTGTGCGACCGATAGACACAGGCATAAAGAATTTTCTCCATGCCTATGTTTACCAGTATCCATAGGGCAGAAAAACTAGGGTCCTCAAGGTTTCGGTGACGCCGGTAACAGACGCCGTCTCAGACGTATACGCATACACCTGCATGCGGAACAAAATTGTGCTCCAGGGAAAAACCAGGATAGTTCAGGTAGGATACGTCCGACGGGCACCTGATCTGGGTCTCCGAGAGAAACAAGAGTGTAGGGTTCTCGGTCTCGAGGTGGTGATGGACCGCATTGACATTAGAGTGCAAACCTCGAACATTTCAGAGGGGCACTTTGAAGGAGAGGGAGTGCAGCCGCTGTTGAACCCCTTTCTTATTTCTCGGTGTCATTGATGGAGAGTGGAAGGTTGCTGGGAGGATGGCAGTGAAATAGTCCCCCATGCAGGCGGCCCCTTGATGCGCACCGCAGTTAGCCACATCATTAGGAGGCCAGACTGGAGACTGTGGGGACGCCCGAGCCCCCCCCCCACGAATATCCATCGGGCCCTCTCCTCCGGTCGCCAACCGGCACGATGGCGTATCCATGGGATTTTTCGCTGGATGGCGGGGCAGCCTTTCTCGTGTGGCTAGCACGCTAGTTGGCCCCCAACTTTCTGCGGTCTGCTAGCGGTGCACCGTGCCTCGGTTCCCGATACCCTCCGCGACTGGACACCCGGTGTAGCTACACCAGCGCGCGTCAGACCGGCCAGTTTTCAGTGGAACAACCGTCTCGACCCATCCTCTCATACGGCGTCACCGAGCATCGTGGCGGAACACGACTGGGACGCTGGGCGACACGCTTTTGCTCGGTGGGTGGTCATATAGCCGGCGGCCGAAGCCTACCACCAAAGTGTCACCTGGTTAGCACCACCCAGAGGCCACGTGTTGGGATTTTGATTTAAGGGTGCTCTCCTACGGACGAGGGTGACTCAGCCTCCAAAATTTGGCCCGTCTTCAATATATCGGCAATCTGGTCGATACAAGTTCATCTAGGGCGTCCTCTACTCTACGGTGGTCCCATTCATATCCGCTCTGTATATTTCTTTCATAACTGCTTTCATCCATCCTTTCTGCATGTCCAAACCATCGTAGCGTGATGTTTCATTGCCTATACCCTTCCTGGATTTTATTCGAACTTACACAAGTGTGGGAGAGCCATGCTTCGGCACTGCTGGGCTCCACCGGAGTGATACCACCAACGAGCAGTAAATCGACGTGAAACAACGCTTGCGTTGTGTTTCGTTGTGTGAGTGAGGTTACCGGAGGCCCAATTACCCCCCTCCCTAATCTCTCCAATCCCTGAATTTCCAACAATCCTCAAATTCGTAATCCCCAAAAGGCCGGTAAGGCACTTGGAAGTTTGGAACAGCTTTGGTGTTCCAGGTGTCCATAGGCGACGCCGATTGCTTACATCAGGTGATTCGTCTGCTCGTTGACCGGGTTATCCCCAAAAAATAAAAAAACAATTTGATTTCTTCAGCTATACAGGGTGTCTCTGAGGTTGTGCGCTGCGGTAATCTCATAGATCAGTGCTGTATGTAGCGGGTCACCAGTCGAACGCAATTTGAAATTTTTTAAATATTTTTCTGATAACTGGAACCTTGCCGATCAGCTGGTGCCATGTAATCGTCGACTTCAGGGACAGCCTGTATAAATATAGATTTCTTCCTCGTCTAGATTCCTCCACCTGAAAATGTTGGAAGTCCACCGCGCTACCCACGCGGAGTCCGAGCGAGTGCTGCGCTGCCAGTACTGCCTGGCAGAGCTGGCAGACCTGGCGGACAGGACGGAGCACGAGGCTCAGCATACTGGGCCGAAGCCCTACCTCTGTACCATCTGCGGGAAGACGTACAAGAAGAGGGAGACCATGGTATGTTTCTATTTATTATTTACTAGCTTCTGCCTGCGACTTCGCCTGCGTTACCGTGGGATTGTGTTATTTTAAACCATAATCTATCCCTGTTCTAAATTGGTGCCTTTCTTTTTTTGGCGTCAGTCGATGATTTATGAAGAATATTGTTTAGAATGACATGAAATTGTCTATGGGCTCATATATGGAAATTTCAGTCCGGACCGAGTTTGAGAAAGGAGCTGGAGTCTAACATTTTATTTTGCATTTTTTATTTACATTGTTCAGGTTTTTTACAATTCCTGAAATCGAATTGCGCGCCACTGTACGCCTGGCACACGTATACCATATCACGCCACAATATGAATGGTATGCGAAGCACTAATTTTTATGAGCCATTTTCTCTCAGTCGATAACTTGTGGGATGCTTCAAGGAGTTGTGTCATGAAGTTTCGTGAGCGTCAGCTGTGGTACCAGTGGTGGGTTCAGTAGTGGCAGCCCCCAAACATTTAAAAAAGTACTATTTTTTTAGCCGTTTACTTCTGACTGGAAATTAATCTGCTTTATAGTTAGCATAATCTTTTGAAGAAAGAAAATCGTCGATTGGTTGTAAAGTGATGGACTATACGTCAGATGAGGGCACAATATTTTCATATTTGTGTGATCAGTCGAAGTATAATTCGTCACTTTGTGACCGGATGATGATATCTTTCTACGTGTTTTGCTGCTCAATCCGCTACTGGAGCCGCAGTTGACAAACATAGCATTTCATTATAGGGTTCAGTGAAGTATTTTGTGGGTTTTCGACTGAGAGGAAATTGGTCATGAAAAACTGTCATAAGTCATAAACCGTAAACATTAAAAGTGAAGGCGCTAGCCAATCAAGCGAGATTTATTTTTGCCTTAATGACAAAAAACGCAAAAAAGTTCACGATAAACTTTGCTTTATTCCTTAAAATCGTTTATAAGTATTAATTTTAAAATATTTCTGACAAATAAATGAAGAAATATGTGTTGATGATTAAACTGTCAAGCACCAAGCGGTCACCGGTGACCGCAACCTATTGTTCTATAATTGTGTCTATAATGACGGTACTCGACGAGTTAAAATGAAAAACAGGATATAGCACTATTTTCACATCTTCGAACTGATTTAACTCGGGTCGGACTGAGTTTTTGATATAAGACCCGTATATTTTTAGTTTGTAATGTTATTCTGCGTCAGTTTTTCCATATCCGATCAATTGCCGCGAGAAAATGGAAAGGCACCACGCTCCATTCAAATTTTGTCATTGGCATTTCATCTTGATCCTTTTAGCCGTTGTGACGTGATGGAGCGACAAACAGACACACAAAGTCACAAACTTTCGCATTTATAATATTAGTGAAACATGGTTGTTCATTTCTATTGGCTTTAATGTTCACTGGATGTACAAAATTTTTACCAAGTTCGATGTTTCATTAGATCCAATGTTTGCTAATAGTCCAGTAATTTTATACTTCTAACTGGAATGTTTTCCGGGAGTTTTGAATATTGGCAATTTTGTAGATTTTGATGTGCTCTTTTTTGATTTCCATTTTACTCCTTTATTTATTTATTCGAAGGAGTACTGCCACAACGCAAACACATTAGTAACATAATATAATATAGGTCTGATGCCTGCGACAATAATGGCGTACATAGCATCGGCTATGTACAATGGCCTTAAAATAGATTCTAATTTGTGAATTATGGAAAAAGAAAATAACAACAAAAATCCACACCATAGATAAATTAAAATGAGAATTTAATTTTCAATACAATTATAATGTATATAATTTTCAATAAATATCATATGCCCAATTTAAAAAAAAAGTATTTATGTCATATCAAGTCTAATAATACAAATACAATGTCAAATTAAACGTCAAGATTTCAAGGCAATGTCAATTAAATCAAAATCAAAATAATGCCAATGCCCCTTTGTATATAGGTAAGTGCACCTCTCGCGCCGCCATCTTGGAAAAATGGCGATCGAAAACAGTTTTTCTACAATATCTCTATTTCTGTTATGTTACGAGGAAACCATTAACTATGAAATTAAACTACTCACAATTTTCTACAATTTATATCTCGATAGCTTTTTGCTAATACAAGTAGTTTTGGCGCCAGAGCACTGCAAACATCATTTCATGAGCATTTTGGAAAAAAATAATAATTTCCACACCTCTTGACAGTAGGACGTTTATAGGTGTAATATACGTGGTTGTGGTACACACTTTAGGAACTTGCCGTAACTTCCGGCCGTTAGATGTTCCTGATGAACCGCACATAGGAGATTTCGTCTTGGGCACCCATCGATATGTCACAGTCGTTATTTTTAAATTAAAATGCTTGTCACTAATCTCCAGAAGTGCATTGCAAATATTGATCTGCGACGTCTCGATGAAATTAGAGTGATTGTAAACAAAAAAAGCTGTCCAGACATAAATTGTAGAAAATTGTGAGCACTTCAATTTTGTAGTGAACTGTTTTCTTGTAAATAAAATACACAGGAAAAGAGATATTGTAAAATACCTGTTTTTGTCCGCCATTTTTCCAAGATGGCGGTGCGAGCGGCGCATATACAAAGGTGCAAAATGGAAATCGACAAAAGTATCTACGTCACAATGTACAAAAAACTTTCCAGATGACCCCCATATTTATATGGGGGTATCCTATAAATATGGGGGTCATCTGGAAAGTTTATTAGATTAGACTTATCGGAGGCCTAAGTACGAGTTTCATTTACGTTTAAATTAAAGTATTCGAAACGAGTACACTTTAGGCAATCTGATTGGCCGGCGCCAATGAAGCAAACAAACACAGCGCCGAACGCGTACTCGTTACGATTACTTTAAACGTAAAACAAGCTCGTACTAAGGCCTCGGACTAAATCCAATGTTTGCTAAATTATATATTTATTAGAAACTGTAATATTGGTTCTGCCTGACCTTCACTGAATTCAATGTGTATTGGACAATCCGTATTGGTAATATCCGTAGACTTCAGATATAGGAAGAGTCGTCCTACATTTGAAGTTTCCTGAATAAAGAAAAATAAATAAAAATAAAATATTCTCTTTTAAATAATAAATAAAGGAAGTTCGCCTTTATTGCTGTTTGAACTTACAAACAATAACATAAATTACCCTGCAACCTATATTTTACAAAATATGTTATATCTTCGTATCAAAATCAGTTTGTCTTTAGACATACACCTCCTCTAAAGATTGCCATTTCTCTCTGTCTTTTGCCACTTAGATCCATTCTGGAGCAGCCACATTATGTACGTTGTCCTCCCATCTTTTAGTTTGTCGCTCTTTCTTTCTTTTACCGTATCTTGGTACCACTCTGTTACAATTTTCGTCCATTTCTCTTGTTTTTTCCTTATCATGTGTCGTGTCTAGTGATGTGCCGTTCTCGAGAACGTTCTCCTACCTGAGAATATTGCCGGCAGCGTTCCCGGCAACGTTCTCCTAAGTGAGAATGACTGAGAATCATTTTTATCTAATGGGAACAACCATATTTTTCTAAAATAAAATAATATCAAATGAAGTCAACAGATTATTGAGTATAAAAAATACACTTTATTTGCAGTAAAAGACTATATTCTCAGTGTTAGCAAATATTCTCAAGAATATTCTCGGGAACTTTCTCGGCAATGTTCTCAGCATTACTGTACCTTTGATAATTTTTTTTGTGTTATATTGTTTTATTGATATGGACGATGACAGCACTTTCTTTTTACATGTATGGAAATAATGGACGGTTAAAAATGTTCGTTTATTTGACATTAAATATATATTTGTTTTAGGTATAAATACAATGGTCAAAATAAAACAATATTCCGCAATCCACTCCGTTTAATGAGACTAGAAAACATCAATTTCACTAATTACTACAATATTGACAAACATTGAGTGAACACTTTAAATAAAATCTGACTAAAAAGTAAAGTTACTAACTTAAAATAAATTAACAGCTATTTAAAGATGAAATCAACGGACGATGATTAAAAAAATATCAAATCAGAACTAAACATGTAAAAATTAACAAAGAATATTAAAATAACAATATTTAACGGCTTTCAGATATAATGAACACTTTGTAATCTGACTTTTTTTAAAATAGTATGGTAATACAGTTTTCGTACGAGAAAATAATTCTAATCTATCGCTAGACGATCTTCAAGAAGTAATGGTTCTTCTTGAATATCCTGAAACTCGTCAAAATCAAAAGTTTCCATAGATTCAAGTATAGATTCTTCATGTTCTGAATCACTTTCGTGGTTTGCTGAGGTAACTGACGCCGATTGAATCGTAGAATATAATTCGTGAGTTTCGTGACTCTGTGTTTGTGTCTTATTTGAGGAATTAGGAGTTGTTCATGAGCTTCCAACTATGAGCCACGTAACACAGTTTTCCAGCTCGATCAGTCTTTAATTTGTTCTTTTTCTGGATATGTATCTTTGAAAATGTTGAGAAACTCCTTTCCACAGTTGCCGATGATGAAATTATAGACAATTTTTTTAGAGCAGCTCTTCCCAAATCTGAGTTGGGAAAAAATACGTTCCAACAAGACAAAGGTTGAATCGTGGATGCTGATTCCCAAAGAAAACTTTTGTCGTAAATGCCAATTCGTCCTTTGTAATTTTCTAAATCTTCAAGGACTCTTGGTCCGTTTGTCCCGTATCCACACTGTGCAATGTTCATTACTGCCTGGCATCCATCATGATTCGCGTTAGCAGGTAAAGTTGTACCTTGGTTGCCAGGGTCCAAAATAGCGGCTGCAAAATAAACTGATTTTAATGCAATTTGTTTTCTTTGTGTAAACTTAGCCAATATTTCTTCTAAATGGTTTTCAAATATTTGGATTGCATTTTCCGAAAGAAGCAAATCTTCAATTTCTGTAAACGCTTGGTGAATAAATGAATTTTTGCGAAATGAATTTTTCCATCGTCTCCTTCTAATTTCGTTATCCAATCTACTGTTGGCTTAAAAATGTTTGCATGCCTCTCTATTTCAACCCATGTAGCTTCATCCAAAATATTTTTCACGAAAAGAATGAGCAGGACAGTAATATCTCACTTACTCACTTATACCTTGCTTCTAAGGACTAGTCCTAGCGCCGAGGTAATAAAACAGAAACACTGTAGGTACATAATATCATCTATGAATGTACAAAAACATCGAATTACAAAGTAAATTTATTTTGTTGAGAACATTGAGAATATTCCCGGGAGCGTTCTAGTTTCTTGAGAATATTCTCACTGGCAATATTGCCGGCAACGAGAACGTTCTCAGTGGCACATCACTAGTCGTGTCCACCGCCATTCTGTATTTAGTAGATTCTAAATTAACTTTTTCTAAATTCAATGTTTATTAGATTTGGGAGCAAAGAAACAGAACCATTAGCTGGTCTTTTTCATTTTATCGGACCCTTTATAACTTAACACAACTTGTTCCTTTTACAACAAAATGCTCTCATGGTAAAGGTAACTAAATTGTCCTTTATAAGACATACGTTACCAATCAATACAATACTTGTATCAGGGAATACCTATCACCGTCTCTTTGGTCCTAAGTGTAGGTAATCCGATGTCGCTACAAGCAATGTCTATTGTATTTGGCGTTTCCTAGGTTCGATCAATTTACTTTGGATTTTTGTAAGTTGACCTAGTTTAACAGAGTGCCTAGTGCGAGTTAGTCTTATGTCAACGCGATCCATGCGTTTATGACTCTTATTGGGTGCTACAAGTATTAGTGAATGGATCGCGATGGCGCGAGAACAACCCGCCCTTCGCCCCCTACAGCCGCGCTGTCTTGCCGCCAGATGTACCACCGCAAGCGTCACTCGGGCGCGCGCTCGTACGTGTGCGAGGTGTGCTCGCGCGTGTTCCCGGCCGCGTGCAAGCTGCGTGCACACGCGCGCACGCACGCTGCACGCTACGTGCTGCGCTACGAGTGCCCCGTGTGTGCGCACATGTTCAACACTCGCTACCACGTGCACATGCACCTCGCCACGCACCAGCGCGAGGGCCTGGTGGCGCCGCACCAGCGCGCACAACTCCTCGCCATGGTCCTCCACAACGCGCGCAAGATCCCCCAACATGGCGCCCCCGCACTCTCCGCCTCCGTGTCCGCCGACGAGAGGTCCCGCGTCTGCAACATCTGCGGCGAAGTCTTCCAACACTTCTACTACTTGGAGGAACATCTCAAGAGCCACGGCTCCCGCATCGCGTTAGAGGACTTCGACCGACCCGAGGACAAGAAGTACGTCTGTCCGGTCTGCAACAAGGGATTCAAACTGCACTACTATCTGAAGCTGCACAGCTTCACGCACTCGAAGGAGAAGCCGTTCATATGTCAGCAATGCGGGAAGGGCTTCATAACTAAAGGCAAATTAAAGAGGCACCTGGAGACTCACACGGGGCTGAAGAAGTATCAGTGCCACATCTGCTGCAAGTTCTTCACTCGGCCGAGCTACTTGCGCATACACATCCGCACTATCCACGGCACTCAGGACTATAACTTCAGACTGGACAAGGCGTACTCGCTGGACTCTCTGGCCACCCTGCCACTGTCCACTCCCACTGTCTCGTGATGCAGCGCTTCCACGTAATGACACGTGGATCGTGGACACGGTGACGGGACGAAGTACTTCTGTTGATACGAACGTTGTTGACAAACTATTCATTATTACATTCATTAATTTTGTACGACCCTTGTTTCATTCCGCCTCGCACAGTCGCACCCAGCGACCGACTTGTCGTTCAAATGTCAACTGTAAGTCGAATGTCGCACGACGTACTTCACGACGTCAATATAACACGCTTACGACCCTTTTTGTATTGTCTCCAAAGCAAATAGTTCTATTATAAACTACGGTTTAGAACCGACTTCGACCTTCTCCTAAGTGTTGCATATATTCTCTGGAAACCGCATCAAAATCGATTCAGCCACAAAAGTAGTCTCTAACCATCGGAAATAAGGTGTATAATGGAGTGAGAGGAGAGGAGCCGCCGTCACAACGTGCGACCAATGTCCGCCAGTTGCAGGTCGGTCGTACATTGATGGCGCCAGAACTGCCAAGGAGGCACAGCTACACTACACTTAGTATTATCTCTTGTTTCATGGGATAAGCCGGCA